AGGCCATCCTTAAGGATGAAAATGAATGTATTGGCAAGCATAAAACTTGTTGTATGTCGTCCCTATATCGAAAGAACCGAGTTCCGTTTGACAAAATGCTCCGTTAATATTTCAGTTGAAAACAACCTGTCATCTGATTATGATTTGTCTTTCCAGTTGAAGAATTTCACTGCAGACATTTCAGAAGCAGTCAAAAGGAATTCATCATTAACCAAGTGCGTAGAGAGCAAACTCGTTGAATGGGTCTTCGAACCTCGATTGAAGACTATGTGACGTTTGAACTTGACCTTCTCCAGTCAAGTCCCGCGACTATCTCTCATTGTTTGTTCAGTCGCCGCTTCTTCCTGTCTGCTGTTCAGGGCCCACCCGATTCCTTTCCTAAGCAGTTGCTTGCACCTCATATCTAGATCAATACCGTGGCTTAATAATTTTGTTGTAGAAAATCCCGCTTGGAGAATTTATATTCCTTTCGTTCTTTTTCTCTTTGATAGAAACTTTGACATTTCCCAGCCAAGCTGTGTTCCTCCTCAATCTACACTGGAACCAGTGATGTTGAATAATCTTGTAGGCGGGTTCGTTTGTGTAGTTGTATTCGTTCAAATGTTTCCCTCCCTGATTGACCCACCGAGACCTTCTCTCACCTGTGACACTGTGACCTGGTAACAATGTTCCGATGTACTTGTAGACTAGGTTCCCCTTTTTGGCTGGTCCGGATTCTCATCTGATTTCGCTTGGTTTGTGAGTTACAATCAAGTGGGGCAAACTGAGGACTCGGGAATCGAATTCGTTTTTCATACACGGCAATTTATGCGTTTCGGTTGTTGGTTAAAGTGTAATATTTTAGTCTTGCAGTCTTACTTTCGATGAAACTGCTGGGGTATCCGTTGTTTACGAAGGAAGTAAACATGCGGCTTACTTCTTTTCAACTTCCTCCTCAGTATGGCAGTGTGAATCTATCCAGCTCAATTAGTGAAATTTTAGCTTGTTGCTTCTACATTGCGATTATCTTCAATGCTCATGGCGTTTCCTCAAAGTGATGCTTCTAGTCCTCTTTCCGGTCTTTTGGTAACCTTCCCGTTCAACTAAGATGACAGCGTGTTCATCTGCGTTAAGCCTGTTTTACATGGACAAGGGTAGTTACTCATCTATTCACTTCAACAGCTATCCTGGTGTCATAATGATATAGACCAACTTGAATTGACCTTACTAATAGGCGATCAATAGCCTGTAAATTTCTGTTGTTCAAACAGTTAAATATTGATAAGATTACACCTACTAGGATGCTCCTTGTAGGTAACTTAGTCAGGTATTTTATTAGTCCATGACTCCAGAAATAATGTTCGATTACTAGTGTTGGAGCAGCTCCGGCTGCTATTTTATTCCAGGCTGCAGGTTTAAAAAGTCTATCAAATGAAACTGGTAACTTGTAGGCTATAGAGGGTCGTAGTATTACATTTCATGTCGTTCCAAACTTAATGGTTTTTTTGATGTAGTTGCAACCCAGTTATATGGTAGCCCAACTGGATGATTCCTCTTCTAGCGAACCAGCCAAAAAGTACTAGTTTTTCAGCAATGAATTATTATGCGTGATTTTAGATGTTACTGAACTACCCATTCGTGCCCAACCTTGCATGTTTAGCGATTCGTTTCTTGGGGCTTTATATATAGCATTCTAATGGATCTTGAAATTTTCGAAGCTAACCAAGAAAAACGTCAGAATGAATGTTTAATAACAAACAGTCCGAGGTGCGTTCGTCAATTAAATCTCAGCGCTCACCTTGGCTGCCACATGCATGTTTTAACATACCGTCTATTGCTGGCAGAAAACACATCTGATGTTACCGCTCGAATTTTGTGCTTGCACGAGTTGCCACGTACACTACTTGCGACCATTGATTAGATGCTTTATTAGTCAGGATTTCTGACGACATCAAAATAGCCGAAAATGGGACACTAATAATTCAAGGCGACTCTTATGTACGGAGGGTTACACAAATAATAATTCTTTCTGGTATCCTTTGAAGATGTGTCGTACAGAATAGATGACATGACCAGCATCAAAGGAGACTCAATGTATTGTGATAGAAACAACGAGGTTTAATTTCCACAGCTCTACAAATCAATCGATAATAAAAGGTTTCAATTAGGGTGTGAGCTACGCAGTTAGGCAACCTAAACAGTCATTTTAAGTCGCAATTCACAAGTACTGTCAACACATCGTTATGATGTAGATTTCAATAAGAAAGAACCGTAATGCCATTGAGCAAACAATCAACAACTGCAGTACATCAGCCATTTGAACTGTTGCTTTGCTGTCATACAACCGTAATGACCAATGAAATAAAGGATTAAAAGAGAGAGAGAAGCGGGACTAACCTGGAAACCTAAATACACTAAGAAACCTTTCAGGGTCAAGTCGCCTACACCTTGTGTAGACAACATACCGTCACAAACAGCTGGCTATCTTGCAAAGATAAGGCGGCATCGCCGAGAGAGCTTCCTTGTGGCTTTCACTGCCACGCGTAATAATCAGCCATTATCCCGCAGATAGCTCAACACCAAACACACTTTAAAAAGTCAATCCGACTAGGAGACGACAGCAGACGAGCCACTGGTCTCAGTTGAGAGCCATGTCCTGTAAAGTCTCGAGCCTAGTACATGGCGAGTCACGTGAACTCCAGCCCGGAAGGCGAGAAGGACCAACGGTACCCAGTTTGGTTGTGAGTGACTTCATTTCCCTCTGCCAAGTCAACTTCTGTCCACCTCGAACCTTGCGCTACCCCACTCCTGGCAGATTAAACAAGGCACTCCTAGGTAAGCGGTGACCAGGCATACGTAGCACTTGTCAGAGCCAACGCAACTTGCTCAGCGGTATCTGTTGTTCTACGGAGCTGGCATGATTATCAATACCTAGTAATCGCCTACGCACATCATCATTGCGGACAGGTTGGTGCCATGCGACACCGGCAACGCTTCGCAGACAAAGATGATCAAAGACTAGAAGATGCGTCAGACCTTCTGACCGAAGGGGCAAAGTTTCACTCCCTTAGAGCAGAACGGCCCTCACGGCTATTTAGACAGATGGAAACTCCCTTCTGTCGCCATAGATGCCGCAGGTTCAAACAGCGCGTTCGATTTGTGATAGAATGTGTCCTTGACAGCATTAGCACTGCAGTCGGTGGGAGTCTAAGCGGAAATCATAAACAAACAGAGTTTTGTACTACTTCGTGAAGTAACCTTAGCTGATGGCTTCAAAAGGGCTGCACATAAACGGCTGTTCACTGAAATCTAATCAATAAACGATGGCTCAGCCTTGAAGCTTATAGTGATACATACACCAGCTTGACCGTTGAGTACTGCTTCGGACTATTCGTATGCGTGCAACGAATAACGAGAGGATAAGCCGGGTGCAGTTACTTCAAACACCCCTTAGGGTCATTTATCCTAGTTTCGGACACACAACACACATCAATACCGTGTGTTCAAGGTGCGTTGAGTGCAGCCTGTTGACCTACTTGTCTTAGAGTGCAAAAGTTGAACTTCTCCATGGAAACGGGACGACGTGAACTTATAATAGACTGTTGCCGATTGGCGTCCGGTTGGTATCTCGAGAATGTGGCTGCAGATGGTTCTACTCCAGTGACACTTTGGTTGCTGTCAATTAAGATGGGAATTATAGAAGGAAGGTTAATAATAGGGGTCGGGATGGGAGTAAGGGAAACAGGTGGAAAAGAAAGATGGGAGGAGCCAGCAGTAGCATGTGTCAGCTTATCCGCCTTGCTGTGTGCAGCAGATAATGCGATCCTTTAGAATCTGCGCGCCGGTCGATGCATGGTGTAGTTCGAGTTTGGAGAAATTGGTATGGTTTTATGTGGGCTGAGTACGGCCAGGGTGCCCAGACCTAGACAAGAGGACGATTAGGGTCCTCAGCCAAGGCGTTTGGCTCAAAAACCTGTCTGCAAGACAGCGGGGAGGTGGCAATGAATGACTTTTACAGAAATGGACCCCATCACATTTTAGAGCCCTAAAGTAGGGGACCAAAGTTCTGAGTTTGTCTGACCATTTGCCATTGAGCAATCTGGTAGGCGTAGCTCTCAAGTGGTACGGAGGCACCACTCAATGTAACCCAATGAGTGAAGCAGGTACGTAAACCTTTGCATCATGTTAATTTTTATTCTCGTTACGAAGGGTAATATCAGTGAAGGCTGTGGAGACGCAGCAGTGGGCAAATTTTGGCAGGCAGTGAATACATGGGGCAATTTTTAATAAGCGCAAGATAATGAAATATTTTAATAGATCATGAATTGGGTATCATCCAGTCATTCTTGTTTGGCATGGATTTGCCAGTTCCCCGGTTACAGTTTTTCTCGTTGTCCAGGAACCGATGTTCTTGTGTGGAATATATACATACCGGATGATATTGTTTGGTAGAAGACAGATTCTTTTTCGTAGGGATGCAATACTGTAGTTTATGGACAACCCATGCTTTGACTCTTAATTGCTTTTTGTGAACAAACATTACAACAGAGAACGTTCGCTAATCATTTGTTCATATGTGTTTCTATCGAGAAAACTTTATTCCATTCCTGGTTTCGCTTATCGTAGAAAAGTCCAGCAATAGTTGCCTCTATAGATGTCACTGAACTTTGCAGGAAAACACGGAGAACGGCTGCCTTAGATACAAACACAAAACGGCTGGTTCACTTCACTAATTTAAATAATACAGTTGGCAGTTTAACTGTTCGCTGAGCTTGGCAATTTGGTTGCAAACGTTTCGTCACCAATCGAGGTGACCTCATCAGTGCGTAGTGGAGTGGCATGCAGTAGCGTAGAATAGCGTAGAGGAGCCTCGGTAAGAGTGCCTTCTGAAGTTTAACGTCACCATCGAAGTAGATTTACTCAGTGGGGAAAGCACCTAAGCGCCATCCATTTGCAGCATGAGCAAGGATATTACTGAAACCAATATAGTCCACGGCCGAAATTAGTGGATTGGAAGGGTTTCAGAACACGGATGATACAAGCCCTGGATTACAGGCTACAGGTGCGATACGTGGAGGCTGTGAAGATGGGAGAATTGAAGAGTTTGCGGTCACCGGTGCGATCAACGGGTTTAATGATTGCGAGGATAGCTGCATTGATTGCTGTTCGTTCGAGATAGCTGCGTTTGGTAGTGCGAACATTTTCGCATGGGCGGAGTTTGGTCCGTTTGGAGCTATGGCAAACAAAGGACCACCAGGTGTAGAAAGGTTCGTGTTGCCTCCAGGGATAGAGAGATTGCCTGTCATGGGAACTGCCAAATTGGCATGTAGGCTCTGCTGCTGTGTTTGTTGCTGTTGTTGAAAGCATAGGTTGGAATAATAAACTTCAGTTGGAGAGCGATTATGGGAAAAGGGAGGGGGAGCAGGAGGGTAGCTGTTATATCGGAAGTGAGGGTTTTTCAGATCAAGAGTGTTGGTTATCTTTGTCTGGCATCCTGGAACAATTAATTCTGTCCGCACGTCGTAAGACTGCCGTGTGTTCGCACGCATGGCAACATGGCCATTTAGGATCTGTCCCTCTTGTACGAAGAGGGGTGTTCCAAGAAGGCACCGAACCTGGTACCAATGAGTTAGAGGTTCCGTCGGTGCAGTGGATAGCCATAATTCGCGCTGGGACCCGAGGAATCCAACATCAAACCAGAATGCCAAACCATGGATAGCGGATGAAGTAGAGATCTGAAAGTGAAGTGGAATATCAATCGAAGCAAGCTGCGTTTCAGTTACAGTGCGGAAGTCAACTTTATGTACACAGGGTACAGCGGGGCACAGGCCAATGTCGAAGGTGTCCACTATTGGTTGGTTGAAGTATTCCGCAAGAACAGCATTTCGCAAGGCAGTCAGATCCATACCATGGAAGTTCTGCTGGTACCAAACGTACGCTCTTGCGAACTGTTCGGCAAAAAGAGCATCGTCGCTGAACGGCACAATGTACAGATTCGCCACTGTAGGGAACATTATGCCGGGAGAAAGAAGGGCGCGATTAGAACGCTTGATATTCCCATCAGGAGGTATCTCACCGTCAGCCAGATGCATCGCCTCTCCGTTGTCTTCCTCTGAAGTCTCCACATCCGATGAATTGGAAATTTCATCCGAGACCTGATTGTTGTCAGAGAGCCCATCTTCATTGCAGTTTTCTCAGCCTTCTTAGGCCTGCTCAGTGAGCGTCTTGTATGGGCCGGTTGTCTCAAATGTGGTGAAAGGAACTTGCGTGCATGTACGTAAGTCTCTAACATACGTTCATTGTAAAGCATATAGCCCATCTGTTCGGATATGATAATATCTACCGGCTCCGGCAAGGTGATCTCCTCGATCTTACCACCGATTACGATTATCCGACCAGCCAGTTTGTTTGCCTGCACCAAAGTATTGCAGAATCTCGCCATATTGGATAACTCCACAGCATAAACCTTGATGGCGCCAGCTTGAATCGCGAAAAAACTGATACCAGAACCAGCTCCAACATCTAGAACCACTTTGTCGCGGAAATCAACGGAAGCATTAGCCAGTATGGCACGCTGGTAAGTTGATGTGCGAATATAGTCCTGCATCATATTCTGCTGTTGACTAAGATAGCTATAGAACTGGAAGTATTGAACAGCCGACCAGGAATCGGTCCTTCTGTCAAAAGAAGAAATTTCAGATTCCAGGTTGTCTGGCAATGTGTTAACGCAGATGGATTCGATAGATGCCTGAGAGTAATGACAAAATTAAAAATACCATGAATTCCAGTAAATCCTTTGTTGATTCAAAGCAGATAAAATAAGATATTGGTGACTTGTCACCTTTTCCATATTTATCCTTTTTCAATGACAAGCTCGCAGTCTTCAATCCCAGTCGAAGAACGGAAGTATTTGGTCTCAGATTAATTTCGTGCACAATTTCCGAGTACCTGACAGGTATAAGTCAAGGTAAATAGTGACATACCTGAAGAACGCCAGATTTCCATTGTTTATGCTCAGATTCAGTCGGTTTCCAATAGATCGACAGGTAAATGATGACTCCTCAAACAACCGAAGCTCAACATTGACGAAGTTCGACATCCCTCCAAGAGGATAAGAGATACCGACAGTCTCACGACGCTTCGATACAGGGAAAATTGCAGGGGCTTGTTTCACTGCTATGAACCCCGAGATAAATAATACAGTGAAAAGATGAACAAAGGTAACTTTGTACATATTCTCCTCCGTAACAATAAAATAACCACAGTATATATACAAGTGTCTAAACATGAGGACTTACTAACCATATGTTTGTAGTGACCGATGGCGATGGTCCTAAGACCGTAGAAGAGGAGGCAAATTGTTTTCTTCAAACGCATGGTCGGCTTTAGTCGACAAATCATATTGTCTCGGTAAATCGCATAAAATCTGAGTAGAGTGAAGTAAAGTAACACGAAGCACGGAGACGGGGCTAATTCAATGTTGGGGAACTAAAATGTGTTTGCCTATTCATAATGCCAGTGACATTTCTGGAAATAAAGTACAGGACGGGTTTGCATGAATTTGACTCATTTGAGCCTGTGTTCTTTCAAAATAGAATGCAAAGTCCTTTTGTGTCTGCCTAGGTATGTGACTCAGAGTCTAAGCAGTTTGCAAATGTGGGGTGATTTCTCACTGCTATGTCAGCTTTTCATCACTGGGAGCAGAAACAGCATCAGATTGTTATTATCTGCCAAAGCCTCTGTGGTATTGTTGGTTATTTAAATCTTAATGTCTAAGCGGTATGGGGTCCTGATTGTGGTAACGGTACCCTTACAAAAATATAAATTATAGCTTTTTGCTTCAGTCAAGACCGTTACCTACGACTGTGTAAAATAACAGCGCTTCACATTAACCTATTCAGGGTAAATCGTTCATAACTGTTCTGGTAGTAAACTGCATCTCCTCGGCCAGGCAATTACTGGAGCAAATGCGCCTGGTATGAGTATAATATGTTCTCTCCTACATACATCGGCAACCTTAAAATTAGAGGCCCGTAAGTACAATAGCGCAAATACAAATATAAACGTTATTTGGCTGTGGCAAGTGTTGTGTGACTTGCTTCCTCTAGGAATCTAGCTTCCCGGTGTTTTATCGACTACCTGGTGCAGGTAAGTGGGTTTAGTATTTCTTAACTTAGCTTTATTTAAAGTACTGTCATGCATAACTCGTCCTATCGAAAATCAAAAAAGAATACCTGCAGCTGGTTCACGTAGTGAGCAGAATGAATTTCTCTAGAAACGCAATCCAGCGGCACGGCAACAGATATTGCTGGTTGGGTACATCAAAGTGTGCGCACGGAAATCTTCGATCTCATTAAACTGTTAGGTAAATTGCATGTTTTGAACAACAACGAGTCATTAAATAACAAATGTACGTCTAAAATGCGCTTAATGCTATTGGATATTTCGATTTGCATTACACCTTCAATCAATCAAAATGATTTCGCGAGCTAGCGTGGATTGTAGTGCTGCCTGCGTGGGGCTCGAATTCTCACAAACCGAGGCGCCCAACAGAGCTGTGGCGCTTATTTCATTGAGAGAATCTGCCTCATTGACAGCCTTCATTTTTTCTTTGACAACCAGTATGGACTTTGCAATGATAAATCGTACCACTGCAAGATCACGTATGTCTCTTGGTTGACAATACTAAATAGAATAAATGCTTCAAAGCAACCAGCTTTTGGTGAGTTCGTGACTTCAATTCACTAACGGAGACTACAACATCACGCACAACCGACAAACCACGGTGTTGGGTCATGGAGTAGCTATGGTACATGTGGACGGCGACACGTTATCTCGCTTGAGACCACGGTTTACTTGGAAGCAAATATTTGCCCATTCGCTCAATGGGACCGTTATATCAAGCACTGCTTGCGGAGATATGGCTTACTGAAAACTGAATACTAAATATACAGAGCAAGGAGATAAAAATACGTCTCGCTGCATCATAGGCGGTTAAGGCACATGCGCGGAATCCTGTCGCTTATTCCTGCGCTGTGGTAGCATATTGCAACTGAAATACATCTTATCTGGGCGTGTTACTATCCTTATATCTGTAGTGTGCAAAGTGCACGTCAAGGAATTCCTCAAATTCCTACAATATATAGTTGTCGAAGACCACCATGCACCGGGGTTCTACTCTCAACTCAATCCATCTCAACCTGACGAGTCCAATTCAGGATAAAACCGGTCCGTCTTGGATTGCGGTGCTTAGAGAGAACAGGTCTAAGTATGGTAAGCTTCCTTTTTGCTTTTAATTGATTATTAGAAGACTGTAAGCAAAGCCACGGAGCAATGAATGGTTGCTATAGGAACACTGAAGGCGGCACGACGGTAGAGCATAATCTGTAGCATTGTAGAGCAAAGTCCTACCTTAACTCACATAACCCAATGTGTCAGTGGAAAGGAAAATTACATATTTCCGAATATATACTAGTGATGTACCGTAATTACCGACCCATGCCCAGTGTCGGAGTAAATTTGTTGTCGTCTGAGTCATGATTTGTAAGTTATCAGTCATTCCACTCGGGACGGCATTCTGGACTGTTGTAAGCGTGTTTTCAAATACCGATTCTTGTTTACATTTTCTTTGTTTAAAACGCCCCGCTGTCGTTTTTGTACCCTTTTCATTCGCCGACAAGCCAATAAGCAAAATTGATCTTTTAGTCTGCATCTCCACTGAACCAGTTTACCCAACTTATTTCCGAAGTAACGTGGCTTAACGGTACAGAACTACCAATATTGTAGAGGCTAGAACCCAGAACACCATGAGGTCCATGATTCGTTTAAATCTGTCCATCAGTCTTCCAAAGATGCTTGCGGGAGGATCCAGTCCATTTGGCTCGCGACTAGAATTGCTGTCAAATTTTTTTCAAGCAATAGTAAGTTATGTTTATTGGACGGTATACGGCAGAAGCAATTCAATTTTAGGTATATGAACTAACGGTTTATGCTTGCTTTCAGAGATTATAGTATCTGCATTTTTTGCACTTTGTTATTAAGATCATTAATAATATGTCCGGTTAGATGAACATGACCATGTTGTTATGCTTGTTGACCGACATGTTTTGCGTTACATGGATTTAACTACGGTTTCCGTATACTCGTTAATAACCTAATAATGTCTGAAGATGACTTGGAATTCACATGAGGGTATTCGATGATATTTGAATTCACGAGTGAGAGTAAACTGGTGACGGTTCATGTGGTTTTAAAGGTACGACAGCTAACCGCAAGGCGGTTCGGTGGCTGTGATAAAATGAGTCCAATAGTAGTTTTTGCATAGACCACGGATGCTTCGATAGATGCTCAGAAGTCACATACACACTGTAAAGTGAATAAAGAAAAGGCACCAAAATTGTTGTCCCATAAGTTATCGCGGTGGAAGCTCGATTAGTCATTGATGCCAAATAACTGGACACTTAACTCAGAATTCAATCCAGTCTCTGTAAGTCCTTCTACTGCGAGACACACATGGACATCAACGCTGCACAGCTGATCATGGATGTTCCTGACAATACAGCCGTTGCCAAACGTTATCCACAGGTCGCGTCCGAAATCACTAGTCCTGATTGAAGTATGAGCAACCACTTGACCCGGATTCGAGAAATCACGCGAAAATGTGGACGGCGGATATTTATTTCCTTATCAAAGTACATTCAGTTCTGTGCAAAATTGGGTTCGCAAACCATCAATCCTACGCAGACAAAGCAAAAGCAGCCGCAGGCTGCCTTCGTTATCAAATTTAGTTCTCCTAGGTTGACTTTCTCACCTTCATTATAAGAAGAGTACTTTGACTCGGTACGTATCGATCTACACACATGTCAAGAAAACTAATGATTGGACCATACAAAATCACACAGTTCATCTGATGATTCGAAGCAATGAAATCAGCCTCATCGAAGATCACGAGATTAAGTTGCCACTGTTTCGCCAGAGTTGATGTTGCAGGATTAGGATTATTACATACTGCTTATGGTACTGCAAGTTGATGAGTTACTGCGGTTAAACTTTCATTCTTCATTTTTATTTCCTTTCGATTTCCAAGTCTTCATAGCGAATTGCTCTTAGATATTTAGAATTCAAAGATCGTAAGAGAAGACGCAGGTAAACATATCATCAGAATAAACTTGTCATGGGACTTCATTTGTTGAGTTGACAAGTGGACATAAGGAAAGTTAATCTAATCCTAGAAGCGCCTCGTTCTAGTCTGTTTGGTCAAACACAAGAATGTGATCACAACTGTATGATTTAGCCTACTTTGACATGTGACTCCACTTTGCTCCTGCTTGGTCTAGTTCGTTTCAGCATTCTTGTCTGTGCGAATCCGGGTTTGGATTCACTAAAATACCAAACTGTCCATATGGCAATACAATATAGGTAATGTGGATATGAACTCGACACGTAAGGCATGAATGTGAATGTGCTTGATGTGAGACAATTTCAGAGGAAACACTGTTTGCAAATTCCTCTGGCATTGTGAATAGTCCGTAACAAAGTGGAAAGTATGTAGTGATGCCCAAGCGATGGTAAGCATTTGTTTATTAGTTGTGAGTGGTAGAAAGATTTATTTGGATTTAATGGATTACGGTTAGACGCCGCCCGTATTGTGTGTCCGAAACTAGGATCAATGACCCCAACGGGGTTGTTGAATTAACTGCACCCGGCATATCCTCTCGTTATTGGTTGCAAGCATCCGGAGACGCCGATGCAGCACTGACTGGTCAAGCTGGTGTAGGTAGCATTCTCAGCTCCAAGCCTGAGCCATCGTTGGTTGATTGGATTCCGGTAAACAGCCGTTTATTTGCAGCCCGTCTGACGACATCAGCCAAGGTTGATTCACGAAGCAGTAAGAAACGCTGTTTGTTTGTGAGTTCCGCATATGCTCCCACCGACTGCAGTTCTAATGCTGTCAAGGGCACATTCTATGACGAACTGAACGCGCTACTACATAGTGCTACTAGTTCAGATATTATAGTACTTGCATGGGATATGAACGCACAAGTAGGGCGTCTGAGCACTTCAGAAGCTCAGCTGGGTGGTAATTGTAAGATTAACGTA